TGCATTTATCACATTTGTAGGGTTTTACCCCTGAATGAATTCCTTCATGTTGTCTAAGAAGTGAGCTATCTCTGAAGGTTTTTCCACAGTCATGGCATTCATAAGACTCCTCCCCAGTGTGAATCCTCTTGTGCCATGTAAGGTAAGAGCTTGAGCTGTAGGTTTTCCCACATTGATTATACGTAAAAGGTTTTTCTCCATTCTGGATTCTCACGTGCAGCTTCATGTATGAGTGTCTCTGGGATGTTTTCCCACACTGACTACATTCAAAAGATTTCCCTGTAGCGTGGGTTTTCTCATGCTTCTTAAGATATAAGATTGAGTGTAAGACTTTCCCACAGTCACTGCATTCATAGGATTTCTCTCTTGTATGTTTTCTTTTGTGTACAGCTATATCAGAGCTTATGCTGAAGGCGTTTACATCTTTTTTACATTTATAGAATTTCTTCCTAGGATGAATTCTCTCATGTGACTTAAGACATGAGCAATCTCTGAAAGCTTTCCCAGAGTCAAGGCATTGATGGGATTTCTCTTCAATATGAATTTGCTTATTTTGATTTCATGCTCAAAGCTTCAACAATTTTATTAGTCAGTGGTTTTGCCTGCACTAGTTGGTTCCTGTTGATAAAAACATGGTTAATTACCACAGAATTTATCATGTTTATTATATTAAATGGGATTCTCCCCACACACACACATAAATTCTGATATATCTCAGAAGAACTTTGTTAGGATTAGAGTTTGCTAAATATTTTCTTGGTGAATATGTAGTTTCTCACCTGTTTTAGTCTATCAGCTTGAATAAGCTGAATGCTATACCAGATGGTTCCATGAGGGAGTCTTGCACAGAGTTTTAACATATAATTGTTCTATACTGAGTTACATTTTAAATATTTCATATCTAACCTCCATTTATGAAAATAATTACTTTGGAGGTTCTGTAAACATTTTAATAAATAGTTTTGGAGCTAGATTATACATTTCCTTTGAGTGAATGATACTTAGAGAATCTCTTGCTTTCTATTCATAAAACAAATATGGTATCATGTATTTCAGATTACTCTCTGGTTCATGTACTGTTTTTCTATCATATGGAATTTTGGACTTTTAATGCAGAGGATAAGACATTTTAAAATCTTACTTTCTTGCCATCTTTTTTCCTCCAAACTAGCTTGCTTATGTGATCATTTGGTTTTATGGAGAATCACTCCATTTGAGCAAAACAAGGAAAAATAAGCTTTTGGAAAAGAAATAGTGAGGGCTAGTGCTGATGGACATCTCTGAGTGGTTGGCTTTTATGCAAGCTTCAGCATCTTACCTAATCTTGATCTATTGTTTCTTGGCTTCATCTTCTCTGGATGCTGGATGATCTACATGACTGTGGTTGGGTCACCCCAACCTCAAAATGTGTAAAAAACACCTTATATCTGTGCATCAATACTGTTATCTTCAAACCAAAGCAGAGACAAGCCTCTGGTGACTAATCACTTTTGATGATTATTTAAATCATTATTACTTTATGCTTATCTGGCTACATTTTTCTGTAAGATAAACAGAACTTTCTTTAAGCTGATCTTTCCCTGTTGCAAGTTCCCATACTTGTTTATCAAGCCTTACATAGTGGCTCCTGGTTAACCCTTAAACTAAGCAAAATACATATATCTGATCCTCTTAAAGTTAAAATCAAATTAAATCTACAGCTGTCAGTTTCTGAATGAGAAGAATATATATGTGGGAGGAATCCAAGTTATGCAGTGAAGGTGTGAGAAATTCTGTATTCATTTGTTATCCCTTAGAAGATGTGTGACAGCTTTGGTAACCACTGTTCTACTGGTTAACAGTAAAGTTTTGTATATTACATAATAGCTAGAGGAGAGGCTTTTGAATGTTTTTGCCACAAAGAANAGCTCCTACTGATGAGTGAGTACATGTGGTATTTATCCCTCTGTGCTTTGCTCATTTCACTCAGCATAAGTTTCTCCAGGTTCATCCATGTTTATGCAAATGGGAGAATTTCATTCTTTTTTATGGCAGAGTAGTATTCCATAATACCTAATGTTTTAATCCACCATGTTTTGAGTATGTTTGTGCGTGTGTGTGTGTGTGTGTGTGTGTGTGTGTGTGAGTGAGTGATATGGGGAGAGGTTTCTTTTACTTCCTACTTATTGCAATCAATACCAATACATTTCACAGTACGTCAGTTTTTATAAATTTTTATATATTGTAAAACGTTGAATAATCATTTGTTACAGTGATATGTGTGTGTGTGTGTATTAGATAAAGCTCTTAAATTGTGTTTAAAAATTTCAATGTACTTAGAAATTTCACGTCTCTTGACCTATCATTTCCTGACAAAAGGTCTATAATGTAATCTTCCCATCAGGATAGTGGATGGTTAAATTTCCTTCAGAATTGTGTACATTTTACAACACATTTTGTTCTTTGCCTTTGGTATTTGTACAGAAAAGTATGGCTGCATGCATTTAATAAGATAGAACATACTATATTAACCATCACACACATTGATTAAGAAATGAACATTATTAGCATCAAGAAACACTCCTCAATTCTTCTTTTTTGACTCTTATCACCCTGATTTCTATCACCATTTCACTAACATCTGGAATCATGTGCATTTTTAACAGCTTTATTGAAATATATATAATTTACATTCCATAAAGTTTATTTATTTGAAGTATAAACCTAAATGGTTTATATACTATACTTTAAGTATATTTACAAAGTTATATGCACTCATACTGATATCTTATGTAATCATTTGTGCCTGGCTTCTTCTGCTTAACACTGTATTTTTGAGAGTCATACATATTGTTCCATTATCTGGAGTTTATTGTCATTGCTGCATAGTTTTTCTCTGTATGAATATGCACAATTTAGTCATTCAACTATTCTGGACATTTGTTTATAGGTGCATTTTACAGATAGTGTTGCCATGAACTTTCTTGTACATGTTTTTTGGTGCATGGTTGTACACATTTTTGTTGAGTATATATTTAGGAGTAGAATTTCAAGGTCATAGAGAAAAAGTGTGGTCACATTTATTTGATTCTACCAAATGATTTTCCAAAGTAGCCACAGCATTTCACACTCCCACTCTCTTGCCAATATTTACATTTTCTATCTTTTTTGTTTTGGCCATTTTGCTGAATCTGTAGTAGTACCAAATTTTAGTTTTTTAACCTTTTAAACTTTTTATTTTGAACTAATTTCAGACTTACAGCAAAATTTTAAAAATAGTACAGAGAGTTCCTGTATACCTCTCAGAGGTTCCCAATGTTAATGCAGTCAATTTATCAATTATTTCCTTTATGGTTAGTGCTTTTTTTGTGATTTATTTAATATCATTGGTTTTGGTGTCTATTTTAAGGCAACCCCTAAAAACCTGCCCAAGTAACAAATAAATTGGTTGGCATCATTGCCCCTTCTGTCCTATGATAGCTCTAGCCTATTACAGGGACTTGAGTTAAGAAAAAGAGTATTTCTTAGAGTGACTTTGTGGACACGATCTCAAGGTGCACTCTCTTTATCCCTGAGTCTTTGTCTCTGTGGGATCTTATCCCACTCTGTTTCTGTAGTCCTGTAGTGGTAATCTCTGACTTAGGGAAAGCTGGGATTTTGTTTAAGGAGAATCCCACCAGCTCCCTTGAGGTCAGACCCTAGGATCCAAGACTAAGACCCCCGGAGGTGGGAGGAAACATGTGGTACAAAGAGAATGACCTATACCTGGCCTCTCAGGGTCAGGAAATCAGCCATGCAGGAGATCTCTCCTTATATGATCTGTGCTTCTTAAGGATTTGAGCTGCCTTGGGGAAGAAAAGACAGGGTACAAAGAGAATGACCTATACCTGGCCTCTCAGGGTCAGGAAATCAGCCATGCAGGAGATTTCTCCTTATATGATCTGTGCTTCTTAAGGATTTGAGCTGCCTTGGGGAAGAAAAGACAATATATATGTAGCTAATGAGGAGGTTTGAAAAGTGAGCCCCAGGGCAACAAAGACTGCAAATAGCCTACCTGTGACCTCTCCCCTCCCCAGCCCTGCTCAGGTCAGGAATAGCACACCTGAGTCTCATTCCAGAGCTGATTCCACTTGCTCAGGAGCTCCGTTGCCTCACTGGGTCCATCTGCCCTTTCTGGGGACAGATTTTCCATCTTCATCTTTCAATATCTAGAGAAAAGTGGAGAATTCCTCACTGATGTCTTCAAGGTAATCTTAAGTGCCCCCAATAAATGCTGTGAGAAATTGAACAGGTTTTTGTTTGTTTGCTTGTTTCTGATTTAAAAAAAATTTTTTTTAGCAGCCTGTCTGGAAGACATCGAGAAATAAGAGGAAGTTTAGTGGGATTAAGTTATAAGTGAGATTACAGACTAAGCTGTGACCCTGTTGTTGATTTATTTACTCCCCCCACTTTCATATAGTGTATAAATAGCTTTTCATTATTTTCAGCTCTTACTCTGTCTTCTAAATTCCAGGGCACCTGAGTATGAATTAGCCCCTTCAAAAAATATCTATGATTCTCTTGTTTCCCTCACTCTTTTGGCTGAAGACGGAACTTTGGTGGGGTGAGGTTGGCTTCTCAATCTTCCCATTTCTGGTTCTGGATTTCACCCTTACAGAATTCAAGACCTGTCCCTGTCTCTTGACTGTGAGGACTCCAGCATCGGATTGAGACCTATACAGACCCACTAGTCTCCCTTTCCTGTACTTTTTTTTTTAATCACAAAACATTATGAAATATTTTAAACAAATAGAGTAGCACCACGAGCAGTAAAATAAACAGCCATGAAACCTCCTTCCAGGATTAATTAATGCTGACATTTTTGCCTTATTAGCTTCAGACACCTTTTAAAATAATAAAGCATTACACATATACACGAAGTATTCTTTATTCTTGTTTATTTTCCTCCTTCCCCTTCCAGGGGCCACTGCTCTGTAAAATTTGGTGGCAATTCACCATGCTTAGTTTAACACTGTTATTATAAGTGAATATAATGTAGAAAAAAAGTTGTAGCAAACCCAAATGCCCATTGATGTGAGAAGGTATGTTAAAGTTAATGAACCAGAGGTGCTTTCATCAATATTGATAAATATAGAAAACAGTGTTAGGCCAGGAATATAAAATTTCTGAATTAAATATGTAGAATGATACAATGTACAACAAATATGAGCATGTAATATAGAATGTTACCTAAAGATGAAATGTTTATGGATACCTCATAACTCATATAAAACACTCCAGGGAAATGACACATGTATAATTCAATATCATATTTATCCCTGAGAGGGAAGGTCAGGCTTGAGATTGTGCAGGATCATGCAGGGGCTGCAAGGAGTTCCGCATTGTTTTATTTTTTAAAAAACTGAAGCAAGTGAAGCATTTATTTGTTCTTTTTGTTTTTTTGAATATAAAAAAGTTTATTTTAATTTATATTAAAAAACACTGGGTAATACTAATGCTTCTGCAATCTTGCACAGATAAAATGATATTTTGGAGAAATTTTAAAGTAATAATTAATATTGAATTATAATTTTTGCATTTGTTATATGTGTATTTTTTCATCTTTTTATTTCTTTACGAATATGGGATTGAAAGAGCTTTTCTATAACAAATACATTAATATTTTTATCATATAGGCTGAATTTTTTTATTAGATAGGTTGAACATGGTTTTCCCAATTCAACATTTGCCTTTTTATTTATGTTAATAAATAACAGGTTTTTGATGCTTATAATATTTTAAAAATAATTAGAAATAACTTTACCTTTTCTTACATTACATCTTTTTAGGTTTTATAATCATAAGCCCTATTCTGTCACTAAATATATACTCTGTGTTTTACAAACATTTTTACGATTATTTATTTATTTATTTCACTTTATTTTATTTTATTTTACTTTATCAATATACAGTGTAGTTGATTTTAGTGTCCTTTTACTAAATCTTTCCTCCCCCTTCACACTCCCTCCTCCCACCCATCAACATCATATCTGTTTGCTTGTCTTTTTTTTTGTTTGTTCATGTGTTTGTATATTTCCATATTTCATCTTTACTTTTGAAGGGTATTTTTTGAATAATATAGAATTTTTGTCTTTCAGCACTTTAAATTTTTCATGCCAAAGTTTTCTGGCTTGTGTAACTTCTAACGATAAGTCTGTCATTACTTTTAATCTTTCTTTTTCATATAATGTGACCTTTTATTTTGGCTATTTTTAAAAATTTATTTTATTTATTGAATCAAAATTGATTATACATATTTTGGGGGTTGAACATTGAAATATGTTGATTAAATCAATATTAGTAGCATATATATTGTTACAAATCGTAATTATTCTTTATGCCCCTTGTCCAATTTCTCCCCTTACCCTTTTTCACTCCCCCTCCCCCCTCTAATTACCCTAGATTTCTTCTCTCCTTCTGAAAGAATAATGGTTACTCTGTTAACTTGTTGCCTGGATGATCTATCCAATGCTGAGAGATGTGACCAGGTCCCCCAATATTATCATACAGCAGATGCTTCTTCTGTCACTCTGAAATGGGCTTTGTGGAAAGAGACATCCTCTTCTTTTCTTTGACTCTGCTGGTGACTCTCCTTGTGTCAATGCACTCCAGTGGTTGGTGGACAATTTGCGTGGTGCTTGTGGTGTTTAGTTGCTTTTGTGGCAGCCATGGTTATTGTGGAGGCTGCAGTGGGCCAGCTACATGGAGGTGCTGTTTCTGGTATGCTCCTTGGCACTGGTGGTATGCCTGGTTGTGGGGTGTGTCTGGTCCCCTTCTCCATGTCTCTGGTCCCTGGGCAAGCCCCAAGTTTCTGGTACCATGTGCCATGTTGTGGGAGGTGTGTCCAGTCCCTTTCTCTATGCCTCGGGTCATGAAGTGAGACCCAAGGGGCTGGCTTGGTGTGCCTGGTTGGGGGAGGGGGATCCAGTCCCTTTCTCCATGTCCCAGGTCCCTGGGTGGGCCCCAAGGTGCTGGCACAGTGTGCTTGGTTGTGGGAGAGAGGTCTGGTCCCCTTCTCCATGCCTTGGGTCCCCAGGTGGGAACTGAAGAACTGGCATGGTGTGCCTGGCTGTGGGAGAGAGGTCTGGTCCACTTCTCCATGCCCTGGGTCCCTGGGCAGGCCCTGAGGTGCTGGCATGTTGTGCCTGGTTGTGGGAGGAGGGTCTGGTCCCAGGCTCCATACCTCAGGTCCCTGGGCAGGACCCAAGGTGCTGGCTAGGTGTGCCTGGTTGTGGGAAGAGGGTCTGATCCCCAGCTCCATACCTCGAGTCAGTGGGCAGGACCCAAGGTGCTGGTTAGGTGTGACTGATTGTGGAAGAGAGGTCTGGTCCCCTTCTCCATACCTTGGGTTCCCAGGCGGGCTCCAAAGTGCTGTCATGGTGTGCCTGGTTGTGGGAGAGAGGTCTGGTCCCCTTCTCCATGCCTTGGGTCCCTAGGCAGGCCTCGAGTTGTGGGCATTGTGTGCCTGGTTGTGGGAGAGAGGTCTGGTCCCCTTCTCCATGCCTCGGGTCCCTGGGCATGCCCCAAGGTGCTGGCATGGTGTGCCTGGTTGAGGGAGGGGCATCCAGTCCCCTTCTCCATGCTTCAGGTTCCCAGGCTGGCCCCGAGGCACTGGTGCAGTTTTCCTGGAAGTGGGAGTGGGGTCTGGTCCTCAGATCCAAGCCTCCAGTTCCCAGGCAGGCCCCAAGGTGCTGGTGGTGTGCCTGGGCCGGAACTAATTTTTTGTCCTTTGCTTCTAACAGGGGGGAATTTCCTGTGGGAACCAGTACTTGAGCTGTGTGATTGTTTAAATTGCTACTTTGCTGTTGTTTCCCCAGGAGAGGCTTTTTGTGCAGCTTAGGGTTTAATGGTTGATCTTATAGGCACTTCCAGCTCTCCAGAGACCGGGTGGATTTATTGTCTGTAGAATCTCTTGATCTAGGCCTGAGATTTTTCATCAAACTGCACCCCATGCAATTCTGCATTCCTGACCATTCTCATCTGAGTGGTCCTGTGCTGATTGGGGGGCAGGTCAGCTGTCTGTGCTGTGTCCCAGTGTTCCCCTGGTGGGCCCATCTCCCCCACCGCCCATGCTGCAAACACTTCCCATGGGACCGGCCAGGTGCCATCCCTGGCAATGACTCACCAGCCTCTGAGTGGCTTCCCTTTCTCTGGTTGTTCTGGCTCCTCACTCCTGTGTGGGTCCACAGGAACACTATTGGTGGCCTTGTTGTCCTGGGGGCCACCAAGGCCCTCTTCTCCCCTTCTGCCTCCAAGTAACTCCATCTGAAGGGCACAGCTGCGGCTGCTCCATGCACTCAGCAGCTGGAGCCTTAAAGCAGCCACAGCCTGAAACGCTCGGAGCAGCTTTTTCTTTCTCTCATTGTAGTTTCTCCCACCTTCATGAACTCCATAGGTCTCTGCTCCTCTTCCCCTGAGCTCCAGTGGCCCCAACTTGGCTAAAGTTACATTTTTATAAATTTGTAACATTTTGTAAATTTGTTGATTTGTGGGAGAGAGTGATGCTGGGAACCGTTTATTCCACCATCTTGACCAGAACCTGTTTTCTTGTCTTAACAAGTTCAAGGAATCGTGACTGTTGTGTCTTCTTCCCCATCTACCCCATTTGTTTGTGTATTTATTTATTTATTTTTAGCTCCCACAAGTGAGAACATGTGTTATTTCTCTTTCTGTGCCTGACTTGTTTCACTTAATATAATTTTCTCTATATCCATCCATGTTGTTGCAAATATTAGTATTTCATTCTTTTTTATAGCAGAGAAGGTTTCCATTGTGTAGATATACCACAGCTGCCTTATACACTCATTACATGATGGACATGTGGGCTGGTTCCAAATCTTGGCTATTGTACATAGAGCTGCAATAAACACTGGAGAACAGGTATCCCTTCGGCATGATGATTTCCATTCCTCTGTGTATATTTCCAGCAGTGGAATAGCTGGGTCATATGGCAGATCTATCTGCAATTGTTTGAGGAACCTCCATACAATTTTCTGTAAAGGCTACACCATTTTGCAGTCCCACCAACAGTGTACGAGAATTCCTGCTGAGTGACGTTGAGCATATTTTCATGTGTCAGTTGGCCATTTGTATATCTTCCTTGGAGAAATGCCTATTCAGCTCTATTGCCCAGTTTTTATTTGGGATATTTGGTTTTTT